CAGCTGAAAAAGCAAATGCGCCACTGGAATCAGTGAAGTCGCCCCGGAACGCCAAATAATTTTTGTTGTTTTATAATTCAATGACTAGTATTGAAACTTTATTTTATTATAATAATAAAGATTTATTGAAAAGTTATAATGTTTCGTTAATTTTGCTCTCTAATGTATACCGTGGTGTGGCGAAAATTGTATTACACACTATTGCTATCTCGGTAACCGTTTAAGATACGATGTTGTTTAAATTGGACAAAAACGAAACAAATAGAATTTGATATTTTTTCGTCCTGCCTGTATGCGTACTTCTCGACTGGAAGCCATACTACTGCCGGTACTCAAAATTCAATTTACGATGAACAAAAACATTTCAATTTGTTGCACATTAATTTAATGAACCACTCTGTATGCGCTACTGACCTATGATCAGCATTCTTGAAACGAATTCCGCGGCGCCCCCTTGGCAGTGACAAATCAATCAAAATACTATAAAAATATTATAAGGCCATCAACAGAAATTATGAAGTTTTATTACCTGAAAGAATAAATAAACAAAACGAATGATCGAACTGAATAAACAAATTACAACATACTTAATCTCAAGTATGTCTACGCCACTGCCGGAATGATTTTCACACAATTTCAGTGAAAGTATATTAACAATGGTTGCACGTCTCCCATCAGTCTGAGCTGTTGACTTGGACCAAACAATCGCTATCACTGTGCTTAGAACCTCTGTCTGTTTCGAAGATAAATAGTGTGTGGCCGTGTTGAAAACATTTCGTGTTGTTCGCAAAGTAGTGGGAAATAAATATAGGTTAGGGTTGTTTTGATTCTTTGTTCAAATCTACCAACCATGGATCGGAATCGAGAGGGTAAAGTCGGGATGGTATGTGAAATGGTGAACTTGAATCAAAAGCCGCTGAAACATTTGAATAGAATTGCTAAAAAACCGCCAGTCGATATAGAGTTTCAAGATCTCTGTTACTCAGTAGCAGATTCAAAAGTCAAAGGGGGTAAGTGTGTAAACAATTTAGCGGGATGGAACTACTTTATCAATGAAAGTGTTATTTTTTCTAAGTTTTTATGCTCATGAAGTTTCTGTCGGTAAAAAGTTGTTAAAACTACCGTGTTAGGAATCACACCTTAAAAAATAAGACCTCATTAGTTCTTAGCTCGCACAAGTTTCAACTTCTGAGGGTTGTCGTTCGTAAGGGTGCGACAGCTGGTTAACGGAAAAACAGATTTCTTTAAACTATAGGTATCTGAAACTAAAAATCTAAAAATAAATTCAAAATTTGTTGTCATCAGTTTTCTCTGCAAGACATTTTTCTCTCAATTATAGTGAAAATTTATTATATTTTGTCACATAGGTATATCAGTTTCTCAAATTTCAATTTAAAAAAAATATTTTTTTAACGAATTTTCAAATCAATAAACAATTGAATTGCTATAAGGAAAAACTGAAACTTCTGGCATGAAAAATCCAAAACAAGCACTGTTCCCAAACGCCTGNAGACGTGGAATGATCGAATGGCCGGCTAGATCCCCCGATTTGACTCCTCTCGATTACTTCTTATGGGGTTATTTAAAATCTAAAGTATATTTTGATAGACCAAACAATATTGCTGATTTAAAAGTTAGGATAACGGAAGAAGTTGAAAAAATAATCCCAGAGATCATACAGAATGTTGTGAGAGAATTCCAAAATCGCCTCGGTTATTGTCAAGAAGGTAATGGTGGTCATTTTGAACATTCAATTTAATTGTAAAGTACATTGAAAAATACATTCTAAATATTATGTGGCATTATTATCTTCATTCTACGTAAAGTTTTGTGATACCTAGAGACATTATAAAAATTTCACATCCTGAAAATCAATTTTCTTAGTTATGATTGCACCAAACTTAAAAAACTTTATATTGCTGAACAGAGGACTACAATCCCTTTCCAACAAGGTGCCACACCAAGATGCCGACCTTTTCAAGGTTTTTTTCACATAGTACATAATAACGCTAAAAATGAATTTATTCCATATATATGGACCGAACTGTATATATATTTCACGATAATGACAAGAAAGCTAAAATTGAAGCTGACGTAAAAACTCCATCGCATCTTATCTAAATCTTTCGAGTTTATGCAAAAAATACTCGTATTGTGTTTCGATGTGTTGAAACTGATCGTTTGTCAGATAAATGGATAAATTAAAATAGACAGAAATATCTCACTGGTGGTGAGATTATTGTTCGTGAAATGGAAAACTAGTAGCGAACACTAAATTTCCATCTGTATTTCAATAGAAGTCACATTTACCGTAAAATAGTTTAGGGGTTAAACACTATCTCTTTAATTAACTTGGCAAAATCTTGTCGGATTTATCAATGTAGGGCAATATTCAAAATGAGGTTGAATGATAGTCTTATACACAGTTATTCTGGAATTCAGAAATTTTGGGACACTCTAGAAAAGAAATACAATTTTTTCAAGTTTTATTTTTGATATATTCAAAGTGGCTACTAAATAATAAATGATTTATCCAACATAAATCCCAAATATTTAAATTCCTTTACAATTTCAATGTATAAGGTGTAGTAATTATCATTGCTTATATGTATGTAGTCACATTCAACATATTTTTATTATATTTTCAACATATACATTAAAACAATAGAGGGCCCAAAATACTACCCTGAGGAACTCCATGATTTACTGTAATAGCTGACGACATTGAATCACAAATTTTGTTGTCTGTTTTCTATCTGTAAGGTATCCTCTAATCCAATTGACTACTTTACCCTCTATACCATATTCATTTACTGTTTGGTAGTTTGGTGTGCTAATACCTGTATCTGGATTAGGTAAATCAATAATATTCGTCCACCCTTTCTTACCTGCCGTCATGCTGTTTGCTATGCTTCAACTTCTTAGAATGGGATTCCATATTCGGTTAAGGTTCACAGCTTCTAGTTCTCTGTTGAAATTACCCGCGTGTTTGTAGATCTCTTATGCCTTCCGTATCCTGTGGTTTTTTTCACTGAGTGCGTGTTCTGCCACAGCCGACTTGTCCGTTCGGCCTAGCCTGCTGTATCTTTCATGCTCCTTCAGTCTTTCTCCCATGGAACTTTTGGTGGTTCCGATGTATACCTTCCAAGAAGTGCACGATATGCGATACGCCCTACTGCTGATAAAATGGGTCTCTCTTGTCTTCAGCCGACCTGGGACTTTGTTGAATCTTCTTAATAGGTTTGAAACTCGTTTTGATGTTGTGTGGAACTGTAGAACTGGAACTTCAAGTGACCTTGAGATCGAATGAATACAGTGTACCCGAGATCAACAAGGCCATGAGACTGAAGAGTTCCGCGGCTCAATACCGGAAAGAGGCTCAGATAGTTGCACGTGCATATCTATCATATATCTCTAGGGACAGAATTAAAAAACTTTTGGAGAAACACAACGTTAAAACAGTTTTAAAATCCACCAAGAAGATACAAGAAAGTCTCAGGAAGGCTAAAGATAAGAGAGACCCACTATCAGCAGCAGGGGTATACAGTGCTTTTCTTTAATGTCCCCCCTTTTATTTTTTGAAAGGGTCAACTCAAAATTGGAATTTGGGATAATGAAATTAATGCATGAATACTTTGTTTTGAAGTGAAATTGACAGATGAAACATTCAAGATGGCGACTGGGCGGCATCTAAAAAAAATGAATGGAAGGGGGATCTTGCGACACATCTTTTTGAATCTCCTGACAAATACTTTACAACTCTAGAATATAATGTCAATATCTTCAACTACTACAATATGGCGGAACGTTAAATAATTGCCTGAATACATTGACATTCAACTACATAGTATGAGGTAATAAGCTTGAGGTCAGTTCATATGGTGCTCGAAATAGTTGCCTTGAACTTCTTGACATACCTGTCTGTTAAAAATCTGTTTTTCCGTTAATCAGCTGTCGTCCCCATACGAACGACAACTCTAAGAAGTTGAGAAACTTGTGCGAGCTAAGGACTAACGAGGTGTTACCTTTTAACCTGTGATTCCTAACACGGTGAACAGTCTATCCGATATTTCAGGCCGATCATTTTCGATCACAGTAACGTCAATATCTCTACAAATATTTATTAATTATTCTCTGCCGTATATCCAATACTGAAGGAGGTTCAGTTTCGTACACCTTTTGCTTCAAATAGCCCAATGAAAAAAGTCCAAAGGTGTCGAATCTGGCGAGAGGGCTGGCCATTCTGTAGGACCTCGACGGCCAATCCAACGACCGGGAAAAGTAGTATCCAAATAGTTTCTTACTTGTCTGGAATAATGTGGTGGTGCTCCATCTTGTTGGAATACAATATCCATATCGAATTCATTAGGATTCGCTTCGACGATTTCAGTGATGAGAGGGTCAACAGTAGTTTCCAGCATATTGAAATACAGTTCACCTGTTGAATTTTGATCGATAAATAGAGGTCCTACAATATGATTCTCCAATATTCCTGTCCGAACGTTATTTTTTTCTGGATATTGGGTATGTGTTTCCCGGAAAACGTGAGGGTTGGTGTCACTCCAATAACGGCAATTTTTTCTGTCAACATTGCCGTTGAAAAAAATGTACATTCGTCACTAAAACAATTATTGTGGAGATAAGTAGGATGTCTTGCAATGGTTTCCGTCATGATTTCGTAGAATTCTGTTCTTCGATCAGGGTCATCTTCAGTTAATTGGTGTATCATTTTAATTTTGTATGGATGACACCTATTCCTCTTCAAAAGTCTCCACACAGTGGAAGGAGACACTTCACAAACATTCGCGAAGGAATAAGTAGACTGTTCAGGATTGACTACCATCTAACCAATTATTTGTACTTGCTGTTCCTCCGGAATTGGCGGATGACCTGGGCGCTTTTTGTTATGTACACTACCGGTAGTTATGAATTTGGATACAAATTTCCTCAAATATTTTCTACAGATAGGACGATTCGGAAAATCTTTTCGGCCTCGTGAAAGTTACACGTCGCACCGTAAATAAAAATCTCTTCAATTTTTCTTCCAATGGACGAGAATTGACCATTATAGAGATTGTTGATGTGGTACCTTTCTACTAGTAAAACCGAAAACAAAATGAGAATATTCTAACTGAACAATCATGTTCGTTGTCGTACTGATATTTTTTGTCATTTTTATAAACAAAAAATAACTTAACAAACCTTATCGGGTTGTTGGTATTGCTATATGGCAGATAAAAACGAATATGTCTGGAAATATCGATATTGATTTGTTTGTCTTCAGGAAACTATTAAAAGTTCCGCCATTTTGTAGTAGGTGAAAATATTGACTTCATACTCTAGGATTGTGAAGTATTCGTCAGAAGCCTCAAAATGATGTGTCGCAAGACCCTCCCCCCCTTTCCAGTCAACTTTTTTCCCAGATGGCGCCTAATCGCCATCTTGAAAGTTCCATCTGTCAATTCCACTTCAAAATGAAGTATTCATGCAATAATTTCGTTATCCCAAATTTCAATTTTTTGAGTTGACTCGTTCAAAAAATAAAAGGGGAGGGAACATTAAAGAAAGGCACTGATAAAAATGCTAGGACAGGCCAAATTTCATTATTGAATTGTCATCTATCATTTCCACTGTACTATCCACACTCTTATACTATTCAGTTATATATCAGAAAAAAATGTCTACCTTGAAAATATTTCCTACACGTGATGATAGATACTCATTGTACAAAAAAACCTTAAAGAAATGATATTTTCTGGAGTTTAATAGGTATATATTTAATCAAACTCAATAAAAATACCCACGTGTAGCCTTGTAGTTTCTCTTGACTTTTGTTACCCATTCTGTTTCATAACAGAAATATATGTTATTATTATGGAGTTTATTTATTACTTTATCATTCATCAATAATTTCAATGATTAAAATTTCATTTCACTCATATCAGTTCATGTATGTCACATAATACATTTGAAATTATTAAGTTTTATCACGTGGGGTGAAAAATATGCT